GAAGATGATTGAAAACTTATTGTATATATATATGTTTTTTCTATTTCTTTTCCATATGGGTGAACATTTATGGTTTGATTTCTTTGTATGTATGGATCACTTGGGTTGTTACCGACATCTGGTGAAAATTTCATGTCATTAGCACCTCTAGTAATATATTTACTGAGAAAAATGGTGACGTGTTCAATACTTATTTTACCCGCTGTATCTTAAAACGTTTCTGTCTTAAAAACTGATTTTCTTTTGTTTTATCCCTGAAAGAGGTATTTATTTTTAGCATAAAGTTGCAAAGAGCTTCCTCAAGGTGTTCTTTGAAAGTTGTGTTGACTCGAATGTGAACCAAATTCATACAATAAAACATGCARAAATTCTTCATTAGACTCCCAAACCTGCACAGAAATATGATTTAGGATTTTATTACTAGTCGTACAGATGTGGCAACAAACTAACAAACAAAAGCAGAAAATCTAAAAGACAATCACTTGTAGATTAAATCTTCTTTTCATAGCTGACTCTGATTTCTTTTTTTAAAACCAGCGAGTGATGCATTTCTGACATCTATCGAGTTGGGATCCAGAGAACGTGCTAACTTAAATCCACAAACACCGAGTTCTGCAGGAAGGTGTTGACTGGRGGAGAACAGAAACATCCTGTCCGGAGGACAGATAGGGTTTCCCTGAAACTGAGATGTTAGCAGCAACTGAGTGACCCACAAGCAAAGAAGACCCACAGTGAATTACAACCAGAGCCTTTATCCAAAAAAGGTCTTCAAATCTTACAATATTACATGTTGTTTTTGTCAATTTTCTCAAGGAATTTTGTGTTATTTGCAATGTTACAATCCTCCCCTTATCAGTTAGCTGCAGTGTTGTTTATTGGAGAGAAAACGTTCGGATTCACAGCATTATATATTTTATTTGTAATCAGTAGATATTCAGGTGCTCCCAAACAGACAAATTAACAGACTGCACTTAACTTGCATAATCATCCAAAATGGTCAACTACAGTCAACATAAAAGACTATCAACACTAAGTGAATGAATAAACAAACACAATGTGGTGCTCTTTCACCTCTTCACACGTGCCTGGAGCTGCTTCTGCTCCATCAAAAGGAAAATAATACTGAAGCAGGAAAAAGATAATCATGCTAAAACTTTGTGTAAGTAGAAAACAAATTTAGAAAATTTGAGAGCATCATGAAAGAGAAAACAGCCATAAACCACAGAATGTTTCACTGATTTTGATCTATAATCACTAATGGTTTTTTTCTTTACAAACATACAGAATCTGGCTGCAGTAAGCTCAACTTTCAGGAGAGACCTGCAGACAACTCGTAAACTGTAATAAACACTCAGTGGTGGGTTTGAGGAGGATGATAAATGGCTGTGTGTAAGCAATGTAGCCAGGTGTTGTGGTGCTAAACAGCAGGAGAACTAAAAAAAAACTAACTTTTAATTGATTTTTGAGCTTTCCGAATTTGAAAACACCTTTCTTACAAATCATGTTTATATTCAACRAGGAAATCGTGTCAGTAGAGTAATATACATGTGTGATGTATCAAAAATTCCTCTTTCTTTCTTGTTTGACAGGAGGCAAATTCACCACAGTCACATTTAATCGAATTAGTCTTGAGCTGTTACCCCTTTAGCTTTAGTAGCCCCACTGTGGCTGTTCACACACACACACACACCATGTGTTGAAGTTAAATGCCTGCAGGGCTTAGGAGATGAGCTGCCCCGATACGCTCTTCTCCTGATTTTTCCTTCCCATTCGCTCAAGTGATTCTGAATTGACAAACATGGGGACAATCGTTGATTATTGATAAACCACTAAGACCAGGAGTAAAATCTATAAACTCCATGGTTTGTCATAYACTGACTGGTGCAGTTTTCCAAAGGGTCAACTAATTAAACATAAAATTACATAAAATTATCACTGCAACCAAATCAACCTCTGTGTGATCTCATTTAATCCATCAATTCTTGTGTTTTACAGGAAAACTGGATGCCTTTTTTTCTTCAAACATGAAAACATTTTGGTTTTGCATACTTATTCGAATAAACAGGATTACCAGCATTTAATGGAAACAAAAATTTGGAAAATTCCAAAAAACTTCCTAAATTTTTCTATAACTTTTACGCTTGCTTAGTGGTTTTTGGGTTTTCCAAAATGGAGTTAATTCACCAAAGGAGAGATGGAAAYACATTTGCCGAATAAGTTCTGACGGAGCAAACATTTACATCACAATTGATCAGCTGTTTCCACTGCGGGCGTCTTCCCGGATATTCCCATAACATGYGCAAACATGGCTGGAAGCAACAACAGGTACGTGTGGACTGACAGCACGTAACATCGCCAATGCTTTGATATGGCAGAACAATTACAACCTGCCCGATGGCAACACATTCCTGAAAACTTCTCTCCATTGCCCTGAGATGTGTGGTCCCTGCTAGTTTGCAACCTCTACTTCCTGTTTATTACTGCCACGCATAGTGTCAACATGTGAAAAAATTACGCTTTACGTAGCCTGGTTGATTCGCACAGAACCAGATGGAAACACACCTAATTGTTTTTCTTTTTTTTTGCAGCATTTTAAAGGTTTGCTCAGAATTCACATTACAACACGACTACTGTTTAAACTCCCCGAGTTTTCACTCATTTTTAATGCTTTTCTATAACTCTGAGTKTTTCCTGTATGGAAATTTCAAAAGTCATTTCACAGGTTTCCCTGATTTCCAGAGTTGCTTACAACCCTGAAAGCCTGTCTATTCCTCAAAAGCTTGACGAAACAGTTCTGACCATCTGCCCTTCTCAGCTATGTCACCTCTCACCTCTGACCTCCACAAATCCTGGCTAACACTCGATTGAAGCAGAGTGATGTTTGACCCCCCACCCCCAACCACAAAAAAAAAAAAAAACAATCCTGCTGCTCACTAATCCCGTGCAAACTGCCTAAAAATCACTTTAGTATACTTCCAGCACTAACTACAGTTTTGCAATAATTTGCTTTTCCCTTTTACTGACGGTGTGAAACTTGCTAAAAATACTCAATTGTTGTGAGTCAAAAAGTGTTTTCCTCAGACATAAAGTGAATTCAAGGGAATTCTTCAATTAAAGCCGCAGACTAATACAGTATAAATAAATTCATCTTGGTTTATTGTAGCACAATCTAAACTCAAAACAGCACAAAGCTATATTTACCACACTTCTTTACTCAGCAGATGGGTTTTCTGGTGCAGGCAGCTCAGCAAAATAAGGTCAGTGGACAGGTCAAGCCCAAACAAAGATTCCCTTACAAATGGCAGGAACGAGTTCAGCCCTCTTTCATCTGGTTACTGTGGTCAGTGTTTCAGCCAGAGGAAAACACATTGTTGCAAAAACTTTACCTACATGTGAGCTATTTATGCAGAAAACCAGTCAGATTTTTTTTCTACATTTTTTAGTGTGTGTGCTCAGTTTGTGGATGGCTGTCAGGTCTGCACCAACCCATCCCCAAGGGTGCAATGTTTACTGGCAGACATTAAAATTGATCATCCTTTCCCGGTCCTGCAGGCTGCACTGATGACCATCAGTTTATTGAATCAACATTTAAAACTTTTACTTTGATTCCATCACAACTTTCTGTTTTTTTGCTTTTTTCCATCATTTCTGTAAAAGCTAGGGGGRAAAAAGCCCAGGTCTCACATCACTGAATGGCTGGCAGATGTGCTGCTGCTCACATATCCTGCAGGACAGTCAAGTGACCACTGGCCTGGCTAAACAAAGACCTATTCCCATGAGCGGTGTGACCTCTCAAAGCTCGGGGCGGGCAGTGGGGGAGCAGTGTTAGAAAAAGCATTTATCCCCCTCCTCCAGCTCCTTATCTCTGCCCAAAGTTTTCCAATCACTCAACAACAGTCCTCCTCTGACACAGTAGCTTCATTGTTTTTAATCTCCACGGCAGATCAGTTTAAAAGTCAATCYGTATACCTACATTCTGTTTTTAAATAGTTTTAAGCAGCTAAATACAATAAAACCTGCCAACAATAAAACGTATAAAACAAGTAAGAAATTAAATTAAAAGTAGACACTGCATCTTAGTAACTAGTAAGGCATCAAACAAAGTTGAGCATCGATCACTTTTGCACAAAAGGTATATATTATGGTTTGTGCCTTACTGCCCACCGTCTATTCAACAGTTTTAGGAAACCTTTGACCCCAGGGCCTGCTGTTCAAGGGAACCATGGTAACCTTTCGTCTCCAGCAGAGGAGAAAAACAAGATTCCAGGCTTTGAATTGTCTCCCTTAAGGGCATTTCATTCATTCACATCTCAGTTCAAACTGTGGAAGGTTTGTTTTTGACTTATTGGGGTTTTCTAATTGTGCCAAGCCAGAGCAAGTCTGATGCATTCCTTAGCAACTTCATGTTTCTGAACTGACCTCCTTAAAAAAAAGGGCAGGGAGATGAAAAATAAACCACCACAGCTCCTTCATTTACCTCCCTCAAAGCTTTAAACTGAATGGCATAATTAGTAAGAATTGAAGGATCTGTAACTTGAACAGTGACAAAGTGAGATTGGTGAGACATATTTTGCTTTTTACATAAGTAATAAATGTTGAACTACTACACTTTTCAATAGATAATAGTAGGGATGCACGAAATATCGGCATTAATATCGATATCGGCCGATATTGGTCATTTTTTTAAAATATCCGTATCAGTCCGATATGTAAAAGTGGGCCGATATTAACATCCGATATTGATTTCCCACTTTTTCGCTTTAGTTTCTGTTTTGAGAGGGGAGATGGTTGGTTGAGCAGCATCTGTTTGATCATAATAGTGATACTGATGCTGCGCAGCCAGGAATAACTGAAGCAGAGCCATGTCAGAGGTCTGGTTGTTTATTTACGCTATCAAAAAAAGACCCAAGTGCATTTGTGCGTATATGTATAATATAATTTGCGTGTTTGTGTAATATCRGTAAATATCGGTTATCGGCCATAACAGCAATAATTATATCTGATATCRATATCGGCTGAAATTTTCATATTGGTGCATCCCTAGATGATAGTTTTTTTAATAATCTGCCACTTTCTGTAAACTTATATTATAAATGAGAGCATTTCTACTGTACAGCTGTGGGATGCAGTGATCCAAGTTGCTTATTCTTATTAGACGATTGGATCCAGCAGCATTTTTTTCTTCTTCAAATACACTCGGTCATTACAATTCAACCTGCCCTCATGTTGGCGTAAATAAACTTGAATATATTATTCAGAAACATATATACTTACCACAAAAACTAAGGACGTTTATGTTTGGTAGATTATTTCTTTGTTGTAACAAAGCTTCTTGGAAGTAAATCACACGTTGAAAAGCCTGTTAAGTTCCCTTTTAAGTGGTGCCACGTTTTATAAGGAACATGCATTTGTGAGATGAGTAGTTGAGCCGAGTACGTGGGTTGTGCACATTAATTTGTCAAATCTTTTTTTGCCAAACAGCTAATTTTGCTGTTGCTATTGATAACTTGTTTTGAGCTTCTGGTTCCCCAGGTGTTACCAATCAGGTGCTCTGCAAGATTTATTGCCAAAAAGTATTGTTACAAGAAAGATATAGTCTAACCAAGCACACATTTCCTTCATTTTTGTGATAGGTACATAAAAACATCAAGGAAGAGCTAAGCTTCCTAATAAGTCCAATATAACCTATCAGATAAATGAGAAATTAACAAATTCAGCTGTTATTTTAATCTGATGATTTGGACTAAAACAACAYCTCAGTTTCTCTTCACATCAATAAGCAGAGCAAAGTGAAGAGTTTTTTTTTATCTTTAATGTCTGAACAGAACATTTCACTGTCAGGTGAAAGTATCTAGATTGTGCAGATATGTCAACTTCAACATTTTTTCATGCAGAGGCCAGTTGAGAAAAATCTGACATTTTCCGCCCCCCTAGCACACTGGTGGTCACATGCCTCAATAAAAAAGGAAGCTATCTTAGGAGGCGATCTGTCTACAAAAATCCCCATCAATCTGGACTCTGTTGACATAAGTCACATGATGAAGCTCAGGTGTCACATTCCTTCTCATCGAGGCCAAATCCCATCCCACCTTTGTGCTTGACGAAGGTTACCCCTCCATCAGCACCATGCTCCTCAAATGATAACCAGCAGCTATAGCAAATGTGCAAAGGGTTAAAAAGTTCCCACAAAGCATCACTCCTACACCCGGTACATAAACCATATCATGAAAGAAGGCACTGAGGCTCCTCGCATGTCCTAACATCCATCTTCTAAGGCGTCAACATAATAAAAGACTTGATGTCACAAGGCCACGTGGATCAGAAATATTCCTCATGCACGCGACTTTCTTTAAAAACAAATGATTGCATAGCCTCAGATCACATTTAAAAAAAAAGAAGTGAAGACTTAATGATTAACCTTTATGATACATGTCATTAACCTTCATATAGTGACCAAGTACAGCTGTTCTGGCCACCTATTTCAGGACAAACAACTGCCCCCAAAGAATCTTTTTCTTTGGTGTGCTTGGGAAGCAATGGAGACAAAAAACGGTCAGAGTGAAAAGCTTTTCAGTCTTTCACCGGAGTAGTGAGGCGGAAAACAATTGTGTGCAAAGCCTCCAATCCCTCCTGACCTGGGAAGGCCTGCAATAAAGTTTGGTCATTTAGACACTCAGGGTAAAGCCTCAGTACCGGGAAACAACAATTCCCATTTGTGTGTATGTGCTCACCACTTGTAACAACCCCCCACCGGTACCTCTGTGTCCTTCAACTGAGCATTTCTCAGGTATGTGAAAATTTTATGAGCTTCCAGATAGACCTTCTAGCAGGTCTAAGTGCTATTTTAAAACAAACTAGTAAAGCTTAAAGGCATCCTTTATCAGCTATTCATTTCAAGCTATAAAGGTAATAAAGTACTCAATCAATTAATAAAACTGTGTTCTTTGGCCACCGGTTCCACCTGTGATAAAAGAGTTTTGAAATAAGTTGCATTAAAACTCTAAATAATTACAAAAAAACAAAGACGTCAGCCACGATATGAAACTACTTTCTCACAATTCCGTATGAAATCAAATTTAGAAATGGATGCTAACGTTGCACAATTTAGCTGGGACTGCTTGAAGTGTAAATAGTTGCAGGTCATATAAATGTGCCACAGCAAGATGCATGGCCTGCTGGTTGTGGGGGGGGATGACACCATAAGGTCCCAGAAGACCAACTCATCCTAAAGCTTCCTTTCCTCCCCCCCTTAAAATACGAGCCTAACTTGCAGGGCACTGGAGGAGAAAGCATTCCAAAGGAACAATTCTTCAAGCGATCAGGGCGCAATAACATGAAAGCCCAGGCCAGTGAATAGGGGTCATCTGCTCTTTAGCATTGGGGGGCTAGTTTCCTGGACAGCTCCTAACCTTTCAAATCCCCTGCTCCTTCATTACCACACCAATAGGCATTTTCCCARCCTAAGCAGCATTTTTCAACTTTGATGACTTTGTTTCTTTATCATGCTACCACCAAAACGGTTACAGGTCTTACCAGGTTACCCACATCTTTTTTAAACAGAATACTCACTTGCGATTGTAAGACGGGCTTTCTGGCTCAAGATTGTTCCATACTTGTTCTGGGCAAGGCACTGGTAGCACCCTTCGTCTGATTTGTCTCCTTTCCTGCTCTCCACCTCGGAAATAAAAAGCGAGCCGTTGGAGAGCAGGTACACCCGTTCATTCTCTGCTACCTTCGCTCCGTTCCTGAGCCACCGGACGTCGATGGGTGCCTCTCCACGCGCCTGGCAGTCCAAAATAACCGCTTCTTTACGCATGACGRTGACATCATGGGGCTCCTTGACGAAGAATAACTCGCTAAAGCTGAAAACACCTGTGAAAAAGAAAGACAAGGAGGTGAAGCCTGGTATGTAAATGAGGATCGAGGCAAGGAGTCAAACTAATAAAGCATTTAGTAGTATTAGCATTAAAAAGCACATGGATGTGTTTTACTTCCTGAAGTCAGTAGTTACACGTATTTGAGAGCTTCTTCAAAGTGTATTCTGAGTGGGTATTATCTGTTTAAGTAGCTACAAATGAATGCTTTACACCACACTGAAGAAGCTGGAGGTCTGCCAGCTGGAGGACCAGTACAGTAAAGCTGTAAAGCCAGCAGCAGAAGGTGAAATGGATTATCCTGTTAGTTTCATCAGTTCCCATCATGTCAACCTTATGCTGAACTCCCAGCACAACTTTAACTTAAGAGTTTATAAAATAACTTAATTTAATCATTTCAATTCAGGAATCACTTTGACCCTAAAGACACCACGTGCAAAGTCACAAAATAACAAACAGTACCTATAAATAAAGACAAAACCTTCAGCTTTTGACCCACAAAATGACAGAAACAAGACTTGTGATCCCATTTTTGCTAGTTTAAATACACAAAATCAGATAATAACCCTATTATTAGCTAAGAGCAGAGACAACACAAACTTAACATACACGTATTATTTAAGACTAGTGCTTTTATTCTTTGTAATAAAAACATGCTAGAGCAAGCTGATAATTTCAGGCAAAAAAAAAGCAAAAGTTAAACCTGAAAAAGCAAAACTGGACATTTTATCGACTTAAAAAACACTTATGAACTTTATGTTGTTTCAAAAGTTCAGGTGACTGTTTTATCACTTTAATGTAACAACGGGTAAATTAAATAATAAACACTGGTTTATTCGTATTTAGTGAACAACACCTCGAAGTTTAGTTAGCGAAGATGTTGATTCGGTCTCGCGGTCAGTTAGCAAGAGAGCTTATTTTGTTTTTAATTAAGATAAAACATACATAATAAAAACTTCTCTTAGCTTCTATGTGTTCATTATGCGGCATACATGTATCTCACTTAATGTTTTTAATCATTTAATTATTTAATTTAAAAAAAAGCTTCTTACCTGTGATTGGCAGCAGGAGAGTAAAAAGCAGCAAACGCTGATATAGTTTCCTTTCGACAGGAGCCATTTACAATAATTGTCGGTACATACCAGCTACTCTCACATAGCTGTTTCCTCCACATGAACAGCACTTCTACTGAGGAGGAGGAGGWGGTGGAGAAGTGGTCAGAGATCCAGGAGAGCAGTTCTCCTCCTCCGGGATGGACGGAGTCAGTTAATCGCCTCTRACATGGAAGGTGTGTTCCAGCGCCCCCTGCTGGCAGGATGAACACAGGACAGGTTCAACACAGCTGCACCTCTGCTGGAGCAGCTGCTTTCACAACAAATAATCATTAAACATGCATAAAAACATCATGCACAAACAGTTAAACATTGCAAGTGAAGACATTTAAATACAAAATATAAATACAGTATTGTGCAAAAGCCTTTGCTTTTCTTTAATTGTCAGTATTTAGAGGAATCTTGTGTTTTTTTTTTTTTTGTTAAGCCACTTAAAATTTGACTCCTAAATGCAATGGACCAGTGCTGTGTCTTCATTAATTAGACAGTTCAGCAAAGAGAACCCTCTTTAGTCACTTTCTTACACTCAGCCTCYCAGAAAGACACCATTTGTTCTGCCTAAAATGTCAAAGATAACACAGTTTMACACAAAATGTGACCTGTCCTGGCAAAAAAGAGTCACTATGAGGAATGCTTTATTGATTTGTTAGTATTTTCAAATTCTTTATCTCAAAAGCTTCAACATTGCAWGTAATTTTGTTGAAATTTGCTCATCTGTCACCTGGCCCGAGAACCAGCAGGTTTTCTTCACAAAAGTACCAGCTCTGAACATTTGATTTTTTGGGGGGTCTAGAATGATGTCATCTTTCATTTTATTCTTATATTTTAAGGGGGGGGGGGGKGGAGCTTCAACGTTCACTACAACAGCCAGCAGAGGAAAATAGTCAATTTTAAAGGAAATCACAGAGGCTATAAGACAATAATACAATACTGACGACATACCTTTTAGAAAACTTCAATTTCAACACATTTTTAAATATGAATAATGTTACAGTAATGTTAATTGTATTGTTCTAACACCAAAAATCTGACTGATCCTTTCACTTTCCCTTATCAATACTAGTGATTCTTATTGATGAGAGCAGATCCATCAGTTTCAGAGAGGAACATCATACCCAAATGGTCTCTACAGACTCTGGGRGGGACAAAAAAAATGTTAATGGAAATGAGTTTGTTCCCTAAAAGTGTGACCTAGCAATTATAARGAAGCATTGATAAGAGCCGCACAGCTGCCGTGTCAATGTCCTTATTGATCCGATGTCCATCACTTATTGTGGAGAGAGATCGACCCCCTCTCTGGTCCTGGATGGTCCGCCCTCGACCGCCGCCCAGCTGTGATGACTGATCAGAAATGATTCCGTCACAATAAAAATAAAAAGTGAAAGACTATGTTTACAAATACATGAAAAAAAATGTAACTTTTAAAACTCTTGTTAGATCTTGTTAGGTTGTTTCCTGTGATTTATAACTGGTTTATGTCRTTTAACTCTCACATTAAAAGTGTCACCAGGAACATTTTCTTCCACTTGGTGCAAAATGTACTAAAAACAGAAACATCTTGTCCCAAAATGATACAGAGTAGCCTACTTCACTGTCAGACTGCAGGTTTACTTGTGGTTCCTAGAGTTTCTAAAACTAAAACAGGTTGTCTATCAGCTAAGACTAGATTTAAGGCTTTCCTGTTTGATGAATCCTATAGATAAACTGTTTATAAAACGCAGCTTTGCGTGTCCTTTAAGGTTAAAAAACGATTCTGCAAGTTGTTTAGCTGTTTAAAAATACCCTCTAAATTCACAAAAACAGCTGAGAAAACCCCTGATTTGTTGCCCCTTCAACTGATTGTTTATTTTTGTGGTGTGAGTGGTGCTCAGGYGGTGGACTCCTCTCTCTCTCTTACATAACGTGAGAAAGTGTGAGTCTGACCTTATTCACGGTCAGCGTGCGTCTCTCATCKGAACCTTCAATTAATCAAGACTTCAGGTTTTAACAACTGTCAATACGGCTCAGTCTGTGGGAGGAGAGATGTGGATGCAGGTCAGGCTCCGCTGAGGCCCGATCGATGAGGAWGAATCCGTCATTATCAGGTTGTGCACGTGGGCAAGGATGTGGGGAAAAGGGGGACCCGGCTTTCCAAAGACCATCTGCCATTAGCCGAAGGTTAGGGGTCTTCCTGCTGCCACGCAGGCCCATCCCCACTGACCCCAGGAGTGTCCAAATCCCAGTCTCATTGCTTCAGCTGAGCACTTTAGGCCCTGTCACACTAGACAACGTATGCCAACTTATGAACATTTCAAAGACATCTACGTTGAAGATGGAACTGAAAAAATCAACAGAAAGCTTCTTTTCAGTGTGTACGTGATGTATTTCTAACAAATTGATCAAATGTATAACTTTTATTAGCAATTTAGACATAAAAAGTCTAATAGCTGCAAGTTGTTGAAATTAATTACAATACAGTTCTTATTTAAAGTTATTCAAAGCGGAATAAATGATTTTTTGTACATTGCTTTCCGGACCAGAGGAACTTTAAAGCTTCTGCCTGACGGGAGCAGCTGGAATGAGTGATGGAGGGGATGAGAAGGGTCCTCTGTGATCAGGGGGGCCTTCCTTATCTCAGTTCAGAAAGGGAGGTTTGAGGTGAACCCATTATTTTTGCTGGCCTGCTTTTTTGACTTGTAACAGTTGAGGAAGTTGTACCAGGATAAAATGTTGAAGGTGATGGCGGATTCAATAAACCAGTGTTAAAATGTCCTTGATATTAGAAGATGTCAGTTTCCTCAGCAGGTGGAGACATTGATGTGCTTTTTTTTWAAAAATGGAATYGGTGTGCTTTTTAAAAGACAGCCGAATATCAATTTCTGTACCAAGGTATATAAAAGACTCCACCTGTTCCACCTGCTGACCCTGGATGCTGCATGGCTGTAAGAGAGGTGATCTGGCAACTCCATCTTATCTCCCTTAGAGCTAGAGTGAAAAGCTCAGTCATCCGGGAGGGACTCAGAGTAGAGACGCTGCTCCTCCACGTCGAAAGGAGCCAGTTGAGGTGGTTCATCTGGATAGGATGCCTCCTGGACGCCTCCCTGGTGAGGTGTTCCGGGCACATCCCACTGGAGACCCAGAGGAAGACCCAGGACACGCTGGAGGGAATATGTTTCTCTGCTGGCCTGGGAACACCTTGAGATTCCCCCGGATGAGCTGGCCCTAGTGGCTGGAGAAAGGGAAGTCTGGGTCTCTGCTTAGGCTGCTGCCCCTGCAACCCGATCCCGGTTAAGTGGAAGAAAAYGGACGGACTACAAAGAATGACGAGCCTTCGATGGCCCAGACGTGGTTCACCAGATCTGTCCCACACCTGTCTGCTGTGTGGACCATCTGTCTGGTGGAGGTGGTTTTGATACATCACTTTCAAAGACCGTAAAATTTGGTGCAYGCATTCAACATTTTGAAAGTTTTTTTGGTTTCACTTTAAGTGGTGACTTTGTCAAATCAAACCTTTACTCATCTTCCACTTTCATTTCCAGATACCTCAGTAACAGCTGCTCAATGAAGACGTCCTTTAACTTTAAAGTGATGATTTATTTACAGTGGTTTGCAAAAGTATTCATACCCCTTGAACTTTTCCATATTTTGTCACATTACAACCACAAACATAAATAT